TCCTTGCTCACAACCCCCTGCAATCATCCCAGCCCACCGCCTGTCCTGGCCATCAGCTCCCACAGTGCACACACAGGGGGCTCCACTGCAGCTGAAGGGAGGGAGCAGCATCCCAGGAGGGTTCACTTGGTTCCCTGCATTCCTGTTCCACACTCAGCACATTCCCCAACACCTGTTCCCATACACACACCCCCTTAGAAGGTCTCTTAGTGGCTACATTGGGGGTCTCTGGTGGTCACCAGTGCCTGGAGCCCCCAAAGTTCTAAGTCACCACCTTATCACCTTCAAACAATTCACCTGCTGACAGAGGAACTTGGTGCTGCTTGGCTGCTGCCTCAGTTCCCTTCCTCCTTCTTTCTTTACTTTGCTTCCTTAGTCCTTTAAAATCCCTTGATTTAGCTTTAGGTAGTTTCCAGGGCACATCCCACTGCACAAACTACCAGTTCTTGTTTCACTTCCAAACTCAGATAATCAGGGAGAGGGGCAGAAATCAACTAAGGCAGAGCACTACCTCCAAATATTGGGACAAAACCACCATCACATTCCATGGCCTCCCTTGGGAAATAAACACCAAACTGCTCAGACACAAACAAACACCTGCACACTACAACAATCTGCCACTCTTGCTTCAACCCTGACAAGCCAGTGGGGAAATTACACAAGGGCAACTTTTTTCCAAGTTTCAGGTATGATACAAAGATCAGGGAGATCAGAGACTAGCCCAGACAGTTTTACTTGGAGGACACAAGGACACCAAAGCCATCCCCAGGGCTGCAATCCCTCGGGCTCCCAAAAAGGCCCAGGGGCTGCCCTGGAGCACAGGCAGGAACATGACATCACCACCCCACAGGCAGAGCTGAGAACCCAAAGAACAGCCACACCAGCAGCTCCTGGAAGCCCTGCTGGGCTGGGCCTTGGGCAGAAAGGGCACTGGCCTCTCTTCCTGCCCAGGAGGAAAAAGCCTCCTTGCTGAGCCCTTCTCCTGCCAAGGGCAGCAGCTCTGAAGGGAACTTCATCAAGGGCAACTTCTCACACCGACAAAGATTCCTCTTCCCTGGAAAATCTCTTTCCAACCAAACACACAAGTCCACACTAGAGCTTCAGGTGCCACCTACAATTTCCTACAAGAACCCCTAAGACTCAACTGATGAGTTTTAGAAGCCAGGCATTCTTTTATTCCTATGCTCTTGAATCATCCCAGCCCACCGCCTGTCCTGGCCATCAGCTCCCACAGTGCACACACAGGGGGCTCCACTGCAGCTGAAGGGAGGGAGCAGCATTCCAGGAGGCTTCACTTGGTTCCCTGCATTCCTGTTCCACACTCAGCACATTCCCCAGCACTTATAACCATCCACACTTACCCTGTAAGGTTTCTGAGAGGATTCTCCAAGGAGCTTCCACGGTCTTCTCTGTCTAGAGTCCCCAAAGTCCCCAGTGCCTGCCTTAGGAGCAGGAAACTCTTACAGGTGGTTTCCAAAGTTTGCATCAGCCTTACCACACATCCCTAGGGAGCAATGCAGAGTCCTCACCATCCTACCATTCCCAGGAAGGCACTTCAGGGACTGCCTGTGGCTCAGGGAGGACTCAGGGGGCTTCTTTTCTTCCTTCCCCAGTTCTGCATTTTCTCCTTGAAAAAACCAAAGGTTTCTTGGCTTGCCTTGCTCCTGGAGATGCAGCAAAGGGCATCTTGAAATCTAGGACTGTCAGCTGCTCACGGTTGTCATTCCAGGTGCTTCTCTCAGGTCCTGCACTGATCAATCCTCTTTGCCACTGGGTTTCTCTGCAGGTTCTTGCAGTCACATTCTGGAAGCAAACCACAATGAGCAAATTTAGCTGTTACTGCAACCAATACATTCTGGCACTGTGATTTCAAAGGATACTGGGGTTGCCTTACCTAGAGAGATCTCAGCTTCATGGTAATACCTACAGGCTCTGCCCTTGTCCATCCTCCTGGAATTCCACTGGCCCACACCACAGGAACAACTCCATCTGCCACTTCAGTCGGAAAGGTGCTGCTGACAGGAGTTATTTCCTGCATGAGAAGAGCTGCTGCTCTCACACAGTTAGCTTCAGCAATTACAATTTCCATCTTTCCATTTTCCATTTTAATTTCTACCTCAACTTTTCCATCCCAACTCTTCCTGGCAGTACTTTTGGTAATTTTGGCAAATACACCAACTGAGGAATTCCCCAAGGTTTTCCCACTTTAACCTCTGTCGCACCAATCACCTTCACAGTGCCATCCCTGAATTCTCCCTCTGGTGTGTTCAGGACTGAGGAAGCTGGACCTGTGTCTGACCAGCACATGTGCAAACCAAACACTGGGGGGACTGGAACCCACACCTTGCACTCCTGCAGCTCTCCCAATTCCACTCCAGAGAAAACACCCAATGGTACCATCACCACTCATCCCTTAAGCCCAATCCCACACTTCTTTTGCAGTCAGAGCACCACTTTGAGAAGCCAATGACAGCCCAGTCCAGAGCTGCATGGCCAGGACAGACAGCTCCACCTCTGATCCTCTCAGGAATGCCTCAAGCCATTGCAGGGACC